GATACATTGAAGAGTACAAGACTCTTTGATCAAAACTTTTAAAGTAAAAATATATTTGTCACTACAGTTTAGTTTCAAATAAATGTTTTATAGGTAACCCATTTGTTCTGCATTGATGCTTATATTTTCCTAAAATAATACTTTTATTATTAAAAGTTAATATATGGTGGACTTCTTAAATGTCTGTGTAAGGAGCTCAAAAAAAAAAAAAACCTTCTAGAGTAAAGTAAAAATAAAAGTAGACAAAATATTCAAATACAAGCATATAAAATCTCTGGAAATTCACCAGAGAGAATACAAGTTAAAAATAATTTATTCAAAAAATGTGCTGATTCTCAGTAAAAACAATGAAGTCTATGACAATTACGCCAAGGGTTTCTCCTTTCTACTCTCCCCCACTCCCAGTATCTTCTTGGGGATATTATGTTCTGGGTCGTGCTCCCAGTTTCCTTCCTCATGCCATAACTCTGACTGAATGGTGTAGCAAATCCACTTCAGACAAGAAAGGAAGGCCATGAAAAATGGCAGTTCCCTTTCTACTCCCTCCTGCACTTATTTGTAGCTTCAGTGCACAGAGATTCCCTTCTGGGTGGCCATGAGGATAGGCATTTCACATCATCCTCACTGCAAGCACTATGTTGAGAAACGTCTATTCATGGATTTACCTTAGGTGTTTGACTTTATGTAGAGCAGAACATCGAAAAATCAATTTCGAAAGACAATTTGTAGAAATCACAGTGGAAAACAATTAGAGGGGGCTAATATCACTGTGATGCAAAGTGGGCAAGAGAAGTAATGGCATACTGATCAGAAATTTAACAAAGAGTGTTAAGGATAGATATAATCATAGAGAGTTCTCTTAATGTCAAATTCCATCCCTTCTGGTGCAGAAATGTATTCACCTGTGCAACGCTGTGCCTATTCAGGAGACACCAGAGAGAGTTGTGAGCAATTCTCACTGGTTGAATGTAAGGCAGATTTTTAACTCCCCCCACTGTGGAAGCATTCATAAAGTTACAAACAGGCATAATTCAAAAGGTCAAAGCCTTATGGCTCAAGGTTTAAGCATAACCTCTGGCCAATCACTGATTGACCACCAAGCTAGGCATACCTGGGATAATCCTGGGGAGCATGGCTAACATAATGAATTTAGCAAACAAAGACTTCAGAGTGCTTTAAATATGTCCAAAAGACTAAAGGGACTTATTTTAAAAGAATTAAAGGAGAATACAATGATGACAACTCATCAAATAGAGAATATGAATAAAAAGATAAAAAATTATATAATTTAATCACATGGAAATTCTAGAGTTAACAAATACAATAACTAAAATGAAAAAATACTAGAAGAGAGCGACAATAGATTTGATTGGCATAAAGAAAGCATAAGATTTGAAGATAGATCAATAGACAGTATTCATTTTGAAAACAGAAAGAGTAATGGAGGGGGGCGCCTGGGTGGCGCAGTCGGTTAAGCGTCCGACTTCAGCCAGGTCACGATCTTGCGGTCCGTGAGTTCGAGCCCAGCGTCAGGCTCTGGGCTGATGGCTCGGAGCCTGGAGCCTGTTTCCGATTCTGTGTCTCCCTCTCTCTCTGCCCCTCCCCTGTTCATGCTCTGTCTCTCTCTGTCCCAAATATAAATAAACGTTGAAAAAAAAAATTAAAAAAAAAGAAAAAAAAAAGAAAGAGTAATGGAGAAAAAAAAAAATGGTGACTCATAGACCTAAGAAGCACCACTGAGTATATCAACCTGCATGTAAAGGAGTACCAGAAAGAACAAGAGAAAGGACAGGAACAAAACAGAACAAAAGAAAAAAAAAAATGTTTGAAGAAATAATGTTCCAAATCATTCCAAATTTAACAAGCTTACTTTTAAACACATCAATCTATATATCTAAGAAACTCAACAAACTCTAACTAGGGTAAAACAAAGATATAGATATATACACGTAGACACATACAGTCAACCAATTGAAATATAATGACAAAAAGAAAATCTCAAAGCAGCAAGAAAAAATTGATACATCACATACAAGTAAATCACATGAAGTATAAAAACTGACTTCTCATCAAAGATGAAGAAGGCTGGAAGGCAGTGTGATGATGTGGTAGGGTCCTCTCCCTAAGGAAAAACAGAAAAAAACCAAAAAACAAAAAACCTCAAGGCAACTTGGCTATATGCGTACATGACATCCCTCATGACCTTGTAACATGAGACCACCTAATCAGACTGCATGTTTGTGTGTTACCATATATGGGAAACAGAGAAGTAAAAAATATATTTAAAAAAACATCACGTGGTGTTCAGGGCTCAGTTCTTCAGGTACAAACCCAACTGAGCCATTGCTGGCAAAAATAAAGTTGCTTCCTAGACCGAAAAGCCTCCCTCAGTGTCACAGCTCTGTGTGAGAATCTTGCTACAATGACATATTCAAAATGCTGCCAGTAAAACAATAAGTAGAAAAAAAAAAAAAAAACTAAACCAAACAAAAGCAAAAACAAAAACAAAAACCTTGTCAACCAAGAATCTTATATCTGGATAAACTATCTTTGAAAAATAAAGATGAATTAAAGATAGTCACTAGTAACAAAGACTGTTAGAATTTATTGCTATCAGAGACAGTTTATAAGAATATATATATTTTACAGATATATAGGTTGAAAAAAAGTGGGAACAGAAGTGATTCAAATAGACATGAAGAAATAAAGAGTATTGGTAAAAGTAATTGAGGAGCTAATTATGAAATACCATATAATTACATATTTATTTCCATTCACTTCATTGACTTTTTAAATCTACTTAAAGCAATAATTACAAAATTATATCTTTGGATTTATAGAGATATATACATGCTAACAGGGTAAAGGAAGAATGGGGTAAAGAAGTTAATTTGGATTGAGGAAATGACACCCAGTTGTTAAACCTAAAAGAAGAAATTTATAATCTAAGAAGTGATAAAATAAGTAGATTAATATACAGAACTCTATAAATATAGCCGTTTTGCTCTTAGCTTCTTTAAAAGGCACAGGGGTATACAAAACATTAATTATAACACAGGGTTTAGAACATATTTAGATGTAATATATACATTTAACACAAAGAAAGGGAGAGAAAATGTAGTTCTATTGGTAAAAAAATGTTTATATTTTATAGGATCAGTGCTCTCTATGGAGTCAGGCTGGGCGAGGGGGAAGGAATGAATAGATTGAGCACAGAGGATTTCCAGGGCAGTAAAACTACTCTGTATGATACTACAATGATGGATATTTGTCATTATACATTTGTCCAAATCCATAGAGTGAACACCACCAAGAGTGAACCATAATGTATAGATATTTGGTAATAATGATGTATCAATATAATTCACCAATTGTACAAAATGCACCACTCTACTGTGGGATGTTGACAATGGAAGAAGCTGTAAGCATATATAGGGGCAAGGTAACATGGGAAATCTTTATACCTTCTCACTTGTGCTGTGAACCTGACACTGCTCTAAAAAATAACATCTATTAAAAAAAAATAACAAGTATAGACAAGTGTGTGGAGAAACTAGAAAATTCACACACTGTTGATGGGTATATAAAATGGTCTCATCTCTTTGGAAAATAGTTTGACAGTTTCTTAAAATATTAAATTTTTTTTTCCCATATCAGCAAGCAATTCTACTTCTAGGTATATATTCAAGATAACTAAAAATGTTTGTATACCCAAAAACTTATATGTGAATGTTTATTGCCACATTATTTATAATAACCCAAAGATCAAAGACAAATAGCAATGAATAGAATCATTTATTTGGGTATTTTTGGTTAGTGCAATCATAAGTTTTGTAAAGCTCCTTAGTGAGAAATAAAATGAGACCGGTATGGAGGTCCCTGAATATGCAAGTTTTAGAACTGAATTTTCTCTTAATTCATTAGGCGATGGAGTGGAACTTTAGGGAAAAATCATGAAGGGAAAAATGAGAACAGCTGGGTTACAGGAAAATTAATTCATAACTCATTTGTAGTTCTTTTGAAGTTATATAGTAAAATGTACATCATAGCCAAATAATGCACAGAGCGTACTTTTTTTTTTTTTCTTTATAGTTGTCCTTCCCTGAGCTCACAGGGTAAGGAACTGGGCTGAACAATAGAGAAAAAAAGGCTTAGTATTTTAACCAGGAAAACTAACAAGAAAATCTAATTTACTTTGGATATCACTGGTCACAGTGCTAAGGATTTTTCCCACATATTTTTATAACAAAACCACTGTTTTGCAGACCCAAATAAATATTAAAATTTTGGAATATGTATGTATGTAGTATTTGTAGATTTTATTCTAGATTTATTAAAAATGTCAGCAAAATAAACCTGATTTCAATGTTTGTTCTTCATGTATATAATAATGGAGGCTATTTGGAGAAGGAAATGTTACTAGAATTTATCAGGACTTCATTTACTGGAAAGAAATTATAGTAACCTGTGTTTACTATAGCTTGGTAAGTGCCTTGAGAGTATATACAGTAGTTGGCCTGTGGCATATTTTCAAATCATTAGAAGCCCCAGGGTCTTCATAAATCACCAGTTAGGAAGCATTCATTCAACACTATTCTTTAGTAGCAAATGTGATAAGAGCTCATATTTTAATTTTATTTGTAAGAGTAAAGCCCTCTAGTTTTTGAATACCCAATTTATGCATCTAAATCCCAGGTTAGCTTTAAGTATTGTTCAAAGAGTTGAACAATATCCATGTTTACCTTAATAGGCCTGGAGGAAGAAAATGAAAAGAAAATAAAGGGATTGAGGAATGAGGGGAAAAAAAAAACTTCATGCAGTTTGATGAATTCCAAATTATAACTCCAGTTTATTAGCATGTAAATGGATTGATAGAATATGCAGACCTAATCCAAAATCAAAGTTAAATTTTATGAAATTATTAAGCAAGGGAAGCAAAGAAGTCATAAAGTAATTATTGAAATATTTTATTAGATTAAAAAAATTTAATTATTTTTGGGTAAAAGACAATGTAACTACAGTTAAAAGCTAAAAATGAGAACAAGAAAAGTGTTTCAGCTTATATGAGTCTAATGTTAATATAAGCTGTGATGGTAATTGTATGTGTCATCTTCACTGGGGTCATGGAGTACCCAGATATTTGGTTAAACATTATCTAACAGTGTGACTGTGAGTGTGTTTCTGGATGAGATTAACATTTGAATAAATGATTTGAATTAACATTTGAATGGTTACCATTTGAATATGTAATTACCATTTGTATAAGTAATTTGCATACGTAAAGCCGATAGTTCTCCCCATTGTGGGTGGGCCTCATCCAATCTGTTGAAGGTCTGAATGGAATAAAAGTGTAAGAAAGAATTATTTCTGTCTCTCTTCCAGCTGAAACATTTGTCTTCTGCCTTCAAACTCAGACTTTCACTATAACAATACCATTGGCTTTACTGGGTCTTCAGTTTGTCACCTGTACATCTTGAATTTCTCAGCTTCCGTAATCTAATGAGCCAGTTCCTTATAGTATATAGTAATCATATATATCAGATAGTAATCATATATTACCCCAAAACAATTTGAAAGCAATCAATCTAATTCAATAGAAAAACAGGTAAAAAGTTTAAAAAAGGAAAAGGAAAAGAATTGAAAAAAAGAACATAGGGAACGAATACACATAGGAAGTCACACACACACACACACACACACACACAGTCAATAAATATTGAAAAAGTAACAAATAAGTGATCAAAAACATAAATACTGAGAAATTTATTGTTGCTACCAGATATATAATATCCAGTGTAGATAAGAGGGAAATTTCTCTCATGCAAGGTAAGTGTTTTATAAACAGTGAAATGGTACTCCAGGCAATCCTCTTTCTCTCCAACTGAACATCATGAGAAATCAGAAGATGTAGCAATGTTTAGGTTCCTTAGCAACATGGGCTATCACTGCAATGTGGATATGGATGTTATAGCACAACCTATGCAGGTGATAAATGGAGGCTATATAATCAATTGCAATTACTCATCTATATGGAAGAATAATGTCACTTACAATTACTTTTGCCACTGAGATAGACATACGAATGTTGTATATGTAATTTGTAGTAGATAAATCTGAAGGAAGGTAGAGATAGGAGCAAAACTGAATGAGAGATCTTTGTGTCTGTTTCCTTATAGAAAAGGAAACCAGTTTAGACACCTTAACTTAGCTGAAAAATATCAAGAAATTCCAAGTATGCATGTAGGGGCTCTGCTGTTTCACTTTAACCTCTAAACAAATAATCATGAAGGAATGTCGCGGTGGGCTTAAAAGAGGTAAAATATAAGAAGAGCAAATAGGCAAACTTCTCCATGCAGACTTCTCTTTTAGTGTGTTAATAAAATTTCAAATAACACTAAGGTTTCGGTAGAACCTATTGCAAGTATATGTGCTTGCATAAGTACTAAATAGGTCAAATTTACACAAAATCTAAAGTATATAGTATTTTATAAATAAAAATATATAGTTTTTTATAAATACTATTTTATATATTTTATACTATTTTAAATATTTTATAAATATTTTATAAATATTTTATAAATATTTTATAAAATATATATTTTATACTATTTTAAATATTTTATAAATTTATTTTATAAATAAAAACTTCCTTTTTTTTCTTAATGTTTGTTTATCTTTGAGAGAGATAGAGAGACAGCCTGAACAGGGAGGGGCAGAGAGGGAGAGAGGGAGGCACAGAATCTGAAGCAGGCTCTAGGCTCTGAGCTGTAGGCACAGAGCCCAATGTGACAAACTCACAAAGGCAAGATCATGACCTAAGCCTAAGTCAGATGCTCAACCAAGTGAGCCACCCATGCGCCCCAATTATCCTTCACAACTTTAAATACTGTCTTGCTTGACTCCTCTTCTCATCAAGGACACTGCTTTAGCTGAGAGAATTCCAAATGGCCAATTATATTTATTCTCACTGGAGGAATTTTAGTAAACCAGCTTTCTAACTTGACATAAAAGGGAAAAGGAAAGGAAAGGAAAATAAAATGCCTCTTGTTGCTAAGTGTATTATACACACACCGATGCATATGAAAATTATCTGACCAGTTTAAAGGAAAATCACACACACACACACACACACACAAAACCCTCCATAGCCACAGCCCAATTAAAAAAAAAAATAAAAAAAAAAAAAAAAAAAAAAAAGCTTTACCTTTGAAAGTCCCTCTCTTTATCCTTGAAAGTGTCCTTTCTCTTTGAAGGTATCTCTATCAGAAGATTCTTTAGGTTCTCTTCCTAAGGGGATAGTTATGGTTATAAGTCATATTTGACTGTACCGATTATGATGTCAAAAATTAGACTCTACAAACTGAATAAAACAAAGGGGGAAATATTCGTTTATTGCAAGAGTTTCAATCTGCAGTCAGAAAATCAAGGCCATAGGAACAATGAGTTTCGAATTGGTCAGAGTCTAAAGGATTTTTATGGGGTAAATGTGAAGTTAATTTGTTTTTTCAGCTGAAAGGTTGCATAGTGTCTTTTTATTTATTTGGATCAGGGTAGCTAAGTCAAGGGAATAAGGAAGTACAGAGATGATAAGAGACTTGGCATTTGGGGATTGGCTGATATCCTCTGCTGATTTCTGAGAAGAACTGTAAATTTCTAGATGGTTAGGTTAAGTTTCCTTAATGTGCCTGCATTGACTGTATCCATTTTGTCCCTGACATGACTCCATTTCCGTTTGGTTTTACAATGCCAAAATCTCTTCCAAAACGGTTGCCCTAATTAACAGTGGATGAGAGACTCCATATCTCACAATACTCCCAAAATTGCTTTTACCTAATTTTTAATCTTTTCCAATTTGGCACATATAAAATGGTTTCACATTGTGGTTTCTATTTTCATTTCACTGATGACTAATCAGGTTAAAGGAGTGGAGAGCAAGTGATTTCTTAGTTTTAAGTTTAATAACATATCTTCAGATGAAAGGTCATATTTATGCTAGTAGCCTGTATTTATCCTACACACGTAAGGCTTCTGATTTTCAAATTAAACTGAAAAAAATTTAAAGTTCTTTCAGAAATGTTGAAACTTTATTAACTGAGACCTTTGGTTTTCATTGCTCTTTAGGGAAATCTGTAGAACTTTTCAGAAGCAAATTTACTTAAGAATAGCAATCAAGACATTTTGTAGGACAATAAAGACATTAATAATACTTTGTTATTGCACATGATATTATTCTCTCTCTCCAGTTTAATGGCTTACAATGCATTTTTTTTTTTTTTTGGCAGTATGAGGAAATTAGCTCTGTTTCCTGGCACAATTAGTTGTAAGTCCTTCATTTTCATTCTGTTGAAGACTGAAGGACAAATCAGTGATAACAGAATCAAGCACTTGGGTAGTCAGCTAAGATTCTTGTCTAGGAGTAATTTATCATGTAAATGGTGCCTGCTTTTTTTTTTTTTAATGGATTTGAAAACAGCTTTCTACATGATTGAAGCCTTTGTCAGTAGCCCACCCCAACATTTGACAAATGTTACTTTTCTCTACAAGAGTGTAAGTAGATCTGTGTGATAAAATTTTGAAATGGCATAATTAGTTTATATGAATTTTTCTAAACCTTCTCTTGCTCTTTTAGAATTTTATATATATGTTATATTTGCACTCTAGATAAAGCTTAAAAGATTGTAAAATGCATATTTTTTGTGAAAAAAGAATAGTTTGGGAAATCAAATGTATAAAGTATATGTGTCTATACATTTCCTTCCTTCCAACCTATGCTTCTTCAAGATATTAAAATAATACTTATATATTAAGGCAGTGTGCGCATTGAAAAATGTGTCTATTGAAAATATCAGAAAATGTCTAGGTGATTATTGGTATGATACCAGACAACTAGATATCTTAAAATGTACAGAACATATATTTTTTAAAATTCTTTTTGGGGCAGTTGGCACTGTATAAAGAACTAAAGTGCTTTCATCTAAATATATAGTACATGAATATTGATATTGCAGCCAATACCTAAAAATATGGATATGCTCAGATATCTGATATTTATCCCTAAGAAAAAAAATATGCCAATGGATCCATGCCTGTCAAAGGAAAATGGTAATTTTTAAAGTAATATTCGACCCATCCTGGAGGAAACTGATTTTTTTTTTAAATTGACATAGTTATTCTTTATTAAAGTCAGCTATTACATTCAATTGACCATATTGAGTTTTATACTATGATATTATAATCTTATGGAACAATTTTTTTTATTTTTTGTTTTATATTATTTTATTTGTTGTCAACTTATTCAAATGAGTTCTCCATTCTAGTTGACCTAAATCTAGGACCTATTTAATCATATAATACTTTATTTCTCATTTTAATATGTCTATACTTTCTATTCTAAGATAATTCTCAAATACTTAAAGAAGAGTACTAAAATACTATCTTAACTAAATTTGGAAGTATATACATGTGCACTAACAATGTCATCTTCTGACTTTGTGTCCATTTCATGGTGATCCTCTTTGGCCACCACAGTTGGCGCCAGTAGTCTTTTCTTAGTATGTCTCTTTCTTTTGGTCTCCCCTGTGTATTTGTGTATGCCTGCGCATCCATTTGCATGGTTTCCAGTTTCAGAATGCCAGTGTCAGGGCCATGTATCCCTGAAATTATTGTTGTTTCCATGTCACTGCAATGCCAACCTTTTGGAACTGATTTCCCAGCTAGGAAGCCCCTAAGCTGTCACAAACATTTCCTTCAAGAAAATAAAATGCAAAACAGTAGCAGTGAGTGCTATCTTGGGACCTAACAAATCCTAGTTGCAGGATTCAATGAGACCTCTGTACCTTCCATTGTTTTAAAGTGATGGGGGGGGGGGGGTATGCAAAGAGTGCAAAATGCCTCTTGTTATGTGTCCATCCAAAAATTTAAAGCACTTTACAATTATAAAATATTTAGTTATTCCTCATTAACAGGTAGGCAGAGCTAAGCATCTCCCTTAATTTATTGGGTGGGAAAATAATACATTTTGTATGATAAACCTAATGCATGATCCATCCTATTTTCTCTTGAAATTTTTAATTCAGTGTTACCTTTTTCACAATTATTATGTGTCTCTTCTATTCAAGATATTCTGCTCATCACTGTCGATATGGATATTACAAGTGCATTTCAGTACTAAGCAATGTACATGACTCTAAAGAAGTATGATTCATATATTTGCTATACATTCATGGACAGAATATTCCAATATATAGAAATGGGAATCTAAATTAACTGTGTTGAGCATTGTATCTTCATGGATTTTGTGGATACATTTAAAGACTTTGGATCTGTATAATTGAAATATGAAAAGACAAAATAGTCTTTACTGAAAAAAAAATTCATAAGTGATGTCCATCTGTCTGTCTTCTATGAATAGATGTGCACAAGATAGGTAAGAAGTTTCAACATTTCCGTTTGGTCTGGAGCCAATGATAGACACAATGTTTTGCATTTAGAATAAGAGTGATTTTGGAGACATTAACGAGAAGGTGAGTTGAAGATGTGAAAAGCCTCGGGAAGAGAAAGCAATAGAGGTGCGTTAAGACACTCATTAATTCGTTTATCTACCCAAATCCCAGAATGTAATTTACTCTACATCAGAATATGGCTGATTCCCCAGTTTAACTGCTGAGCCTCAGCAACTGTTGTTTTTCACCTTTCTTCTAGGAAAGACTGATAAGCAGTGAAACTGACTATTGGGGACATTTTAATATTCAGTTCACCTCTTTCACCCTTTGCCTTGGGGCAGCCAGCACACTTTGCACAACCTGGACTTTAGCAGGATTTGGAAGAATTCACCTTAGGGAAATTAAAACTGCGGATACAGTCAAGGGACCTATGATTACAAATAATCCACACACACCCATTATTTGGCAATGCTGAGCTAAACTGCTACAACCCCAGACGTTTGATTTTTCAATATTTCTTGGGTAACCACATGTACTGTAATAACTTTTAAGTGAGTCATCTTTTCAGCCTAAATCAACGTGAATATGAAAAAAGCAGTTTGGCCTTTGTTTTGTTTTAATAATGGACAGGACTCTAATAGATATAATTAGATGTTTGTATAACCCCTCCCCACACATACACATGCACACTTAGAGCTGGTAGTTCTTCATTGTTGTAGATACTTGGGCAGACCACCCAGACTCCCTTTCAGAGCTCTTCTCCCCAGGGCAGAAGTGTTGCCTGCTGGTAGCTCACAGCCCAGACTCTCCCTAAGGGAATCCTCTGTGGAAGGAAGCTGCTGGGTTCCAGATTACCTGCTCCACCTCTCCCACGTGGCCTTCATACAATGATTGGTCCATTCAGGAGTTCAAAGGCCTGCCAGCTACATCGGTTTCCATCTTCTCTGGAGACTCATCCTAACTCCCATTCAACTTTTCCATCCATACAGTCTCTGTTCCTTGCTCCGTCACAAGGATGTCTTCCCAAATCCCTTGCCAAGAAATATCCCTAATGCAAATATTAGTTTCAAAGTCTGTTTCTGAGGAAGCCGAATTTATGTACGATGATCAAATAAATAAGACTAGCTCGTGAGAGAGGAAGGGGCAAAGAACAAATCCAAGTTCTACTCTTCTACTCAGATTGCTTTCTTGATGTTGAGAGATTTCAATGAGCCTAGTGCTCCATTTCCAGGAAGAGAGATAAGATCTGGAATAGAAGGTTCAAGGACTTCTTCAAGATTGATCTTTAAGCAAACTTGGGATGGATTGTAGTTTTCTAGTCGACATTTTATCTTAGTTGGGAAAAATCTTGCACCCCAGCTTTTACCTGACAATAACCTGGTAGTAAAACTATAAATGACATATTTGTTTGTTTGTTTGTTTTCTTCAGAACATTTCTATTTGCATTTTTTTTCCAGTTGAGAAACTACACTTTTCGTGGTGTCTTACAGAAAAGCACGGCCTCTGCTAAGAAGATTTGGACTTCCTCTATCGGAAGCAGTCACTGTTTCTTCAAACAGAAGAACATCAGGATCTAAGAGCTTCATCCCAAGGGTCAATACAGGACTATGCATATTTGGCTTCTGAAAGTCTAATGGCCAATACATGATTTGGGACCTAGTGAAGAATCAATATGCCAATTATACTTTATGTTCCGCAGAGTATTTAGTGACCATCTTCACTTTTTTTGCTCAATGAAGTTTATGTAGAGTTGTTTTTTTTATTAAGATTATTTTTATTTTTGAGAGAGAGAGAGACAGAGAAACAGAGAGTGAGTGGGGGAGGAGCAGACAGAGAGGGAGACAC